CTGTGGATGCTCCAAAATCGAAGGACACTTCATTTGTGATACAACAGGACTGTTTCAACCCCAATTATTTCTCTTCTGCCTCCCTGGCTACAGTGATTCCCAGCTACACTGCCTTGAGGTAAATAATAGTAATAGTAGTTATTATTATTGCTATGTGGAGGGTCAGTCCCAGTGTGTCAGGTTTATGTGTCCTGCCACTGAACTATGTCCATGGCCCTGACCACAATTTTTTTTATAGTTGGTTTTGAGAGCTGACCTCTGACCTTTATTCTCTAGACCCCCAAGGGGGGTTATCCAAGGCTTTATCTCTATTAAAATATTTTAATTAATTCCTTTATTTTTTGTATATGAGTGTTTGGCCCACATGTATGTATGTGTCCCACATATGAGCCTGGTGCCTCTGGAAGCCGGAGGTGGGCATCAGATCTCTTAGAACTGGAATTAAAAACAGTTGTAGCCACTATATAGGTTCCAGAAATCAGATCCAATACCTGTGGAAGAGTGGCCAGTGCTTTTAAGTGCTGAGCCATCTCTCTACCCCCTAAAAGATTTTTTTTTTTGAGACAGTTTCTCTGTATAGTCTTGGCCTTGAACTCAGAGATCCACAAGCCTCTGTCTTCTGAGTGCTGGGATTAAAGCAGTGTGCCACCACCACTGCCCGACAAGTTATATTTTTGTACTCCATCAAAATGATTTTGAGGGTGAGACCAGTCTCTCTGTAGCTCTAGGTCCAAGGTCCAATAATGCCTGCTTCTGATCTCCTTGGGCATCAGGCACACACAAACACTCATGTAGGCACACACTTATACACATAATAAATAAAAATAAAACTCTCAAAAAAAAACCTTTCTGAGGTCTAAGAAGATGGCTCAGTGGTTAAAGTCCTTGCCCTGGACTCCAGAATTCGGGAGGCAAAGGCAGGCTGATCTCTGTGAGTTCTAGGCCAGCCTGGTCTACAGAGTGAGTTCCAGGACAACCAGGGCTACACAGAGAAACCCTGTATTGAATCCTGCCCCCACCCACCCAAAAAAGAGATTCTGCTTCAATGAATAACAATCAAGGACGGACTCTTGATGTCAGTCTTGAGCCTCCTAACACCTGCACACACATGCATGAATACCTACCTGCATATACATGCATGAATACCTACCTACACACACATGCATGAATACCTACCTGCACATACATGCATGAATATCTGCCTGCATACACATATATGTCCATACATATCCACTTAGAGAAGGAAGGAATAATTTTCTTGAGTGCTTTGTCAAACGACTAATACTATAGATAATTTTGTTCTATAAAATCTGGGATAGTAGGGCTGGGAATCTGGTTCGGTAGAATGGTGCTTGCTTAGAGTGTATGAGATCCTAAGTTCATTCTGAGCATTGGGTTGGGGGTGGGAGGCAACTCTTCTCAAAAAATTTTAATAGTGCACATAGGAAACCTTGTCTAGGAAACTGTTAACTTTTTTTTTTTTTTTAGATCAATAGCTAAATGAGACTATGATTTTCTGTAGCAGTCAAAACCACACCACTGAAATAAAATTGGCATGAAGCTGGGTGCAGTGGTATGTACCCGAAATTCTAGTACTCAGGAAGATTAGGAGCTCAAGGACAGCCTTGGCTACATAGCTAGTATCTCAAAACAACAATTGCTCTGATTCCAAGACTAGAACATTGGAGACCACAATTCCTCAGGCAGAATTTATTCAGTGTCTTGGGGTGGGGAGGGTGGACAGAAGTATGCTAAGGCCATCTGCAAGCTTAGGTGTTTGAGAGGGATGGTGAAAATCAAAGAAGGGTCAACAAAATACACAACACTTAATTACAAATCAGAAGAGAAGTAGCTAGTTTTTTTTTTTTTTTTAATATTCTTTTGTTGTTTAATAATGGGTGTTTATTTTTAATTTACCATGAACCCAGCATGGTGCTTCACACCTCTAACCTAGCATTCAGGAGGCTGAGGCAGGGACAGAGAGGCCAGCTTGGCCTGCTATACAGGGAGTTCAAATCTACCTTGGCTGCCATCAAAGAGGTAGGGAACGGCCTCTGAGACTTTTGGTGTATAAATTGCTGAGGACTGAACCAAGGACCCCTTGCATTGATAGGCAGACACTATCATTACCAGGGCTACATCTCTAGCCCTAATAACCATTTAATTTCTAAATAGCATTTTGATAAGTGAGTCTGTTCCTTTTTCATGTTTGCAATGAAGACAAAGCGGGATGGGGTGGAGGTGGGGGCTGGAGTCTAGCATAAAATAAGAGCAAACCAAACTAGTAATTTCGTTGGTCAATGTGGTCAGCCCCTGGAGATGGAAACGAAAAGGCCGTTGAAGGGGCTGCTTGATGTTCTGTGGTTACACTTTAAGGAGGGAGAACTTCCTTCTTCCTCTGTGACTGGCAACTTTACTATAATGCCAGGAACTGTAAGCTTAATTTTGGGTTCTTTTGGGCAGAGAAGGAAACAGGAGTGAAGTTGGATTGTGAAGTCTGGACAATGTTATGCTATGGATAAAGCCAGGTTAGGAGCTTTGAAGTCAAATAAAGTCTCTTTTGAATGGAGATCCACTTTTGCCAGGTGGTGGCTTCCTAAATGCTGAGAAACCAATATTTTAAATTCTACTAGATTCAAGCTAATAGTCATTTTAATTTTTCCATGAGTTTCTTCCCCAAAAGAGTAATTAATGGATTTAAGAGCTGGGCATGGTGGTGCACACCTGTAATCCCATCGACTGGGAGGTAGAGACAGAAGGGTTGCAGAGAGTTTGAGGTCAGTCTTGGCAAAAAATGAATTCCAGTGAGTTCCAGTTTTGGGCTATATATGGAGACCCCATCTCAAAAACACACATTTCCTAAAATCAGAAAGTCAAGAAGGAGGTTTCCACTAAGGCAGACTCTAGGCAAAAGATACCCTTTAAAGAGGTGATCTTTATTTTTTGTTTTATTTTGATTTTTCGAAACAGGGTTTTTCTGGGTAGCTTCAGAGCCTGTCCTGGAACTCCCTTTGTAAACCAGGCTGGCCTTGAACTCACTGAGATCTTCCTGCCTCCACCTCCCAAGTGCTGGGATTAAAGGTGTGTGCTACCATTGCTCAGCTAAGAGGTGATCTTTAACAAAAGTCTTTTGGAAATTTTCGAAACATGCTGTCATGGAGAATAGTATAGTCAGCCTCAGCAGTGACCAAACTAGTGCTGTCCCAAGGTTATTCACAGCAAGTTTGTCTTTGATCATCCTGAATGGAACCGTTTAGCAGATACCCTTAAGCAATACTAACCAGAAGGAAGACTTCCCTGTCACAGGCCAATCTTATTTCTTCTTCATTGCTCATCTGTCTCTGGAGTATGGTTTCAGGCACTTGTGTTCTAGAACGGTCTGGCCACTGATACCAGCGATGTGAGCAGAAGAGACTAGAGACTAGAGACTTGGGGAGCCTTCCAGATTATGGGAGGCTTGGGAGCTCAAAGTCATCCTTGGCTACACAAATGCAAGGCCAGCTGGGGATACATGAGACCCTGTCTCAATAAATATATAAGTAAGTAAGTAATGCTTCCATGAGTAAGAAACTCAGGGAAAATGTCTCCAAGTGAGAAAATCTCATAGTGATCACTTTCAGGCACAAATTTTCTTCCTTCAGGCTTTATTTCTGTTGCTGGGATAAAACATCCTGACAAAAAGCCACTTAGAGAAGAAAGGGTTAATTTCAGCTCCCACTTCTAGTTGAAGCAGCCAGAGCCAAGAGGGACAGAAAGGCTTGCTGGTTTTCTCTACTCCTGCTTGACTCTCCCAATCCCTAACTAAAGCCAGGGCCTTGGGCTGGGTCTTCCCACATCAAATAGGATAATCAAGACAATCCCGCAAGACCGCCATGGCCAGCCGGCTCTGGCAATCCTCATTCTCCCGCACTGAGGTCCTCTTCCCATGTGATCTTGATCAGAGGTTGTATGAAACTGACTACACTAACCATCGCTACTTGTAATTGTCTCAGAGGCGCTGTGAGAAGCTTACCGAAGCTACTAACAGAATCTTTTGTTTTGTTATCAGGGCATTAATTGAAGGTTGGGATGAAAAGGAACCAAAGATAGTGGACTGATGTTCATTCCATCAGATACTAATAATATTCCACACTGAGAGTGCGTGCCCTGGGGCTGTGTGTGAGGTGGTTACTACACTTGAGGATTCCCTGGAACTGAGAGGGTCCTAAGGAGAGTCAGCTGTATACTATTATCTCTGTCAGGGATCCTGAAGTTTTACTTTCTGAGGCCAGTCCTGACCAGGAAGCCCAGAACAAGGGAAGGGAAACTCCTCCCTCCAGCCTGAAGGGTGGGAGTATGAAATGGAACATCGTTGGCAAGAATCTGAGCAGCCCAGGAAGGGCACTCCAGCAATGGAGAGTGGTTTGACCTTCAGAGCAAAGAAGAGGGAAGCTGCTGGGGTAAAGATACAGCGTAACCCACCCTTCCTGTGAGATTGTGGCAGAGCCCCCGCCTCCCACCCCCCACCCCCAAAACCTGCACTCTTTCCAGGGAGAGGGCAAGGCTAGACCTTCATGTAGAGGACTATGTATGGCTTGTGTTTTGACCTCCCATATCCCTCTGAGAGGGAATCCTGCCTTGTTCCTCATTTCTGACTTACTCAAGGCCAGAAAGATCTAAAAAATTTTTTCAACATAAAAAACAAACAACAAAACCAGCGAAAAGATGAACACATGAAGGAATCCACCCCTGGACAGAAGAATGCTAAGGGTTTTTTTGTTGTTGTTGCTTTTGTTTTACTCTTTCACCTTTTATTTTGATTGATTGATTGTGTCCTGCCCCCCCCCCCCCCCCCCCAACACACACAAGACAGGGTTTCTTTGAGTAACAGTTGTAGGCAGTCTATAGACTAGGCTGGTCTGGAACTCACAAAGATCAGCCTGCCTCTGCCTGGGAGTGCTGGGATTACAGGTGTGTGCCACCACCACCAGACCATCTTTTATTTTTAAACCCACAGTCCTCATCTATCTGTGAGGTAGAGGGAAAACCAGGGATCCTATGAAAATACTGAGTCCAAGAAGAAACTGGGTGTGAACCGAGACCACTCATCCCTGGTGGGTAAGAACCCAGCCTGGAAGATTCCCTGCTCAAGCCCAACTTCTTGAGCTATGCTTCTCTCTGATGTGCCAAGTGGGATGAGCTGTGACATCCCAGCTCCCTTATAGCACCAGCCAGGAACGAAGGGAAAAAACAAAAACAAAACAGTGTTCTGAATGCTTATGTGGCTTTTTTGATAGGGAAAACTTTTTTAAATTAACATGCAAATGACAACTTTTTGGAAAAAACAAAGACCAAAAGCTTGGGGAGAGTCCGGTGTTTCATCATGGGTATGAATAGGTTTTTTTTGTTTGCAACTTTCTTTTCTTCTTCTTTCTGGGTGTTGATGTGGATCTCTTTCTATTTGTTCAGGAAGCTGTGACGTGTGTTCTTGGGCAGGCTCTGAGGTTTTGGAACCTTTTTCTAAAAGGGACAGAGAGAGCACCCTGCAGCATTTGCTAATCGAGAGGCTGACGTGTTGGACTGAGCTGGTCAGGATGAAGCAGGTTCCCATGGGCAGCAGGCTTATCCTGGTTCTCACCTTCATCCTGGTTTGGGGATCTTCAGTTCAAGGTAAGACCCATAGTCCCCCTCCCCCTTCTCTGCTATGAAAACCTCAGCATCTGTATGAGGGGTTGTCTCCATCAGAAGATACAGGGGAGAGGAGGCAAAAGGAGGGTTTGAGGTGGCTGAACTCGCTAGTGTACACTTGAGTGTGGTCCAAATATAAATAAATAAATAAATAAATAAATAAATTCTAAGGCAAGTGGCAGCCTTAAAACCTATCAGAGTGCCTGAAAAGTCTTAATTTTGGTTTATTCATTTAAAGACTTCAAGAAATAACTAGAAAGTTGCCCAAATGACTGATCTATTTAGATGATCTTGAAATGATCTAGAATATTATCCTACCCCTGAGTTATCTGCATGAATTCCATCTTTATTTCATTTTGAGGTATTGCCTCATGCACTGTAAGATGGCCTTCTCTATGCTAAACAGCTGAAAAACACCCAGATAATAGGTGTGTGTATAGCCACACTGGGCTTCAAATTAGAATGCATTCCGACACTGCTATTTTAACAGTAGGCAAGCTTTTTATTTTATTTCATCATCATTATTATTATTTTATTTTATTTTGGTTTTTCAAGACAGGGTTTCTCAGTGGCTTTGGAGCTAGTCCTGGAACTAGCTATTGTAGTCAGGCTGGTCTTGAATTCACCGAGATCTGCCTGCCTCTGCCTCCCAAGTGCTGGGACTAAAGGCATGTGCCACCACTGCCCGGCTTCCCTTTTTCTTCTTTAGCTTCATTCTTACCAAACATTCAATTTGGCTAAGCATTTGCTAACTCTAACCCAAAGAAATATTTTAAGGATTGCTTGAAGAAAGACTAGTATGTTTGTTCTTGCTCAGAAAACCGACCATTTGGTAACCCCTCCTTAAGTTTGGTTATCATTTAGGGCTGTTTTGTCCCACTGAATCACCCTAAAACTTTTCTTGACTAAGAAGTTTGTAAAGAAAAGAAAGAAGTATTTCTCCTTTGATATATAAGGAACCTTTCTAAGAGGGGAAGGTCATGGCTTGATAAATAGGTATCAGAGTATGGCTGAAAAACACAAAGTTCCCTCAAATGGTAAAGGAAATGTTGAGTCACAGTGACACATGTCCTGGGGTTGTTTCTTCTAAGTGACTCTTACTTCCGGTTGCAATGAGACCTCACAGGTAAACTCAGAAACCCCTTATAGTCTTGAGTTTATAAACTCATTTTCATGTGGCTATGCTAACATTGGAAGAATACAGGAAGTGACCTTGCTGAAGCTTGTTTCTATTTCTGTACCTCTGTGATACCAGGACTTGAACTCAAGGCCTCATACATGTCAAGTATTCTACCACAGAGCTAGAGCCCCAGGTCTAGAACAAGTTTGCTCAGATCTTTTGGGTAAAAACCTTTGGACTGATGTAATGAGTCCCCAGTAACCACGTGCTCTGACAAGACAGACCACAGTGAATTCTGAATTTGTGACACATGGTTGACCAATTGGCCATGGGTGTGTCTCTACCAGAGACATGTATGTAATCCTTTAAGTTGCAAAAGTTCCCAGAAATGTCACATTCCATGCTGTCTTTGGTGATAAAACTAAACTGAAACCAAAGCCTTGTATATTTCATCATTAGCAAGAAATGAAGGAGCCAGGTTGGGTGGCTTATACAGCCCTCCAGAGGCAGAGGCCAGCCTAGTCTCCACAGTTCCAGGATAGACAAGGCTTCACAGGGAGACCCTGTCTCAAAAAAGAAAGAAAGCATGGAGAAGGTGTTTGTGTGGGCAAGGCCGCATTTATGTTTCCAAATTGCTGATTTAGCTCTCAGTTAGAAAGGGAAACAAAGAAAGAAGAAAATGAATGAACCAGAAAGTGAGGGTGTTTCCAAGGTGCTCTTGGCTCAGTGTATTATGCTCATATCTGAACAGGAATTGAAATGGGTGCCTGGCCATGCATTAGTACAAGCTGCTGGGGAACAGCAATGATATTACTTGTCATACCTTGTGCGGTGACAGGTATAATTCAGTAGCACAGGGTCTTCAATCACTTATCCCAGGCTGGCCTTGAACTCATTATTCGCTGAGGATGGCCTTGTATTTCTGACTCTCCTTCCTAAGTGCTATAATTACATACATATACTAGCTATTATACCCAGTTTGTGGCGAGCTGAGAACCAGAGCCAGCTCTATGTGCAGCATTCTGTGAATTCACCTGTAGCCCCAGCCTTCTTGTCTTTAAAAAATATGTGGAGATCAGTGTGTCTGTAGCCTTCTGGTTTGAATGATAAAATGCACCAGGCTTTTAGCTTCTTGATCTTAGGTTACTGTGCTGGTTTTCTTAGATTGCCATAGCAAAACACTGTAGACCTAGAGCTTTAACAGCAGAAAGTTATTTTCCTCACAGTAACCGAGTCTTAAATCAAGATCCCAGTGTTGCCAATGTTGGCTTCATCCTGACACCTTTCTCTTTAGCTCATATATATTGGTGCCTGGTCTTCACACAGCCCCTCCTCCACACACCCCATTATCCTCTTTGAAGGACACTAGCCATAAATGAGGGCCACTCTAATGGTCTCATTTTAATTTCATCTACAGTGAACACATTTCCAAATATTGTCACATTGGAGGAAATTTTAGGTTAGAACTTCACATGAAATAAATCCTACATATATAAGTAAGTTCTATAACATACTTATTTCTATAAATTCAACTAAAAGCATGATGTAAAATGGTGTGCCAACTACACGAGAAATGTCAGTGGGCGTGGATGATAACAAATTGCTGTGGGACAATTGTGGCACAGGCCTTTAGTTCCAGTACTAGGGAGGGAGGCAGAGGCAGGCGGATCTCTGTGAGTTGGAGGTCAGCCTGGTCTACAAATCACGTTCCAGGACAGCTAATGCTACACAGAGAAACCCTATCTAGAAAAACAGAAACAAAAAATAAGAAAACAAAAACAGAATAGATGGTTGATCTATTTAATGTAGGCTCCATGGGAGCATTGATGAAGCCTGTGTCTCCTACTTGTATTACCTCTTTTTAAAAATGCCCATAAAGACTCCAGAGGTGGAAGAAAGAGGATCAGGAGTTAAAGATCATCCTTAGCTACATGGACTACATGAGCCCCTGTCTTAAACTAAACACTATACTCACAGAGACAAAATGAAAAGGGCATGAGCCGGTATGGTCAAGGGCCTGGGGCTAGACCTCCAGCACTCACAGTAAAGATGCCAGGTCTGCTTGTGTCCACTTTTGGGCACACCTGCTGGTGGAGTGATTTCCCAGCCTCTGCCCAGTAACCATCATCAACTTTGACTTGAGGAGGAATTGTGGCAGGAGAACTGCGTGGACCTGACAGCCACTTCCTCACACGCTCCTTGCCAAATATGTGTGAGTTTTGCCCAACGTCTGTTATAGTGAGCTCATAAGCCATTCAGTCACAATTAAGTTCCCAGACAGTTTGAGGGTCAGACATGTTCTTTAATTTTATTACTTTATTTTATGTGCAAAAGAGGTTTTTTTCCTGCATATATGCCTGGGCACCAGGTGCATAGCTGGTGCCCAGGAAGGCCAGAAGAGGGTGTCAGGGCCCCAAGAACAGGAGGTACAGACAGTTGTGAGCTGCCATGTAGGTCCTGGGAATTGAACCCAGGTCTTCTGCAAGAGCAGAGCTCTTAACCTCAGAGCCATCTCTTCCACCCCTTCTTTAATTATAACAAAACATTTCCTTTCACTGCAGCCTTTCCCGCTTCCTGTAGAGGTGAGGGCAAACTGAAAGTAAGCTTGCAGCTTTTGAGGGGGAAGCTTGCCCATCTTGTGCAGTGGATAGGACAATAGGAAGTAGCTTAAACGCAGATACTAGCAGTTGCCTAAGCCCTACCCGTCATTTCTGGACATTTTTAACCCCCTTTGGACAGCTTCCGCTTCAGTTTTCTCATGTATCTGTAGCAAGTTTCCATAAAGAATGGGAAATTAGTAAATTGCCGTCTGATGGAAGGTGAAGTAGGCAGAACATGGAGAGATTAGAGGCCTCTTTGAGAGATCTGTTGCCCTGCTTGTTCCCTCAAAAAATTTTTTTTAGTGAGGCAGAGCTAGTGAGTGTGTGTGCGTGCAGAGGGTGTAAAGGCAGGGAGGAAAATTTCTCCCTTAGACTCTACTATGCCATCAACCAGGGTCCACTGTGAATTGGGGACATTGAGAAAGAAATGAAAAGCTCTTTCATTGGAAAAATTATGATTATGACACACATAGAGAGTATCTTTGTAATCCCAGGACTCTGGAGGCTGAGACAAGATTCTAAGTTCTTGGCTAACCTGGGCTATGTAGGGAGACTGTCTCAAAAACCAAAATGGCTGGGCATGGTGATGCACACAGTTCGTCTGAGCATTTGGAGAATGGAGGCAAGTAGATCTTTATGATTTTGAGGCCAGCCTGGCCTACTTAGTGAGTTCCAGGCCAGCCAAGGCTACAAAGAGAGGTAATGTCATCAAAGAGAGAGAGAGAGAGAGAGAGAGAGAGAGAGAGAGAGAGAGAGAGAGAGAGAGAAGAGAGAGGGAGAGATGAAGTTGGATTGGGAAGGAGTTATGGGGAAGCTGAAGGAGAGAAAAGCACATGATCAAAATATGTTGTATAGAGCCAGGAGGCACACACCTTTAATCCCAGCACTTGGGAAGCAGAGGCATGTGGATCTCTGTGAGTTTGAGGCCGGCCTGGCCTACAAAGCTACACAGAGAAACCATGTCTCAAAAAAAAAAAAAATGTATAAAAAAGAAACTTTAATAAAAAAGTTTAAAATGACTGACAAGGTAGCCTAGTGAGTGAAGGCCATGGTCACCAAGTCTGATGACTTAATTTTGATCCCTGGGACATGAACACACACATCTATATAATAAAAACAAGACAAAACAAATACTGATAATCATTAGAGATTTGTAGTCCCACTAGCAAGATAAAGTCCAGATACTCTCAGAGCTTCAGGAACCAGAACCCTGAATCTTCACAGCCTCCCCACATCTGTGAATAGCTACATCAGGAACTCAT